AGAGATGGTAGGCAGCAGAGAAATAGGTCTATAGTTAGTTACTGACTTCTTTGAACCTGATTTGTAAATTGGTTATTTATTTATTCAGCAATATTTCACGAGGGGGCTCTTACAGCAAAGCTGACTCAAAGAGGCCCTCATCAGTAAATACAAATATATAAAAGGAAAGAGAAATATAAAAATACTATAAAATATACAATCACTAAAACATAATAACATGACTTAATCGATATATTGCTGTCTTAAATAATCTTTAAGACAAGATTTAAAACTGCTAACAGAGACATCACAGAAGACCGCAGACATAGAATTTTAAAAAGAAGTACCTGAAATACTGTAGAAACTATTTTTTAAAATATAGCAAATGCGGGCATGGAACATAAAATGTATCATTTGTTAAAGCCCTTGTCTGAATTCCTATTCTGTTAATTTTATTAAAACGTTTTGCAGAGGTAATCTGGAGCAATACCAGTGGCAGCCTTAAATGCTAAGCAGCCAAGCTGTAGTGTTATACGATCCGATACATTTAGGGTGTTTAAAGTGTGGCAGATGATGTCCGAGGATGAACATCAAGTACAAGCCTCAGTTTTGTAATGATTGGATATTTGCAACGACGGAATTACCCCTGGATCCCTATGCACTACCGCAGTAGTCAATGTGTGGAAGGATAATAGTATTATAAACTAAAAATTTAGTATTGGAGTCAAGATAGTTTTTAGTACGTGCTAGTAATAACGAAATTGATAAAGCAATAATGTAAGCTATTTGACATGAGGATGCCATGTCATCTTTTCGTCGAAGATAATACCAAGGTGCTTATGACTTGTGACTTGCTTAAGACTGTGGTTAAGATTTATATTAATAGTGTTATTATTTTTTAAGCGGTGAGGAATGCCAATTAACAGTTTCAGTTTTTTCCAGATAGTTTCAGTTTTTTCTGAGATAGTGAAAGCTTGGAAGTCAAGTAAGCTATATTTTCTAGAAAGAAATAATGTGAAGTGAATGCGAAGTATTGTTATCATTCTAAAATACATTGCTGAAAACAAGTCACTTTGTATCTTGACTGGTCATGGACCTTTAGTAAAGGTTTGTTTTGATTACATTTACGTGCATTCAGAATTTGATGACAAGAACGAACTGTATCATGCTTCCAGGAAGATTAATGAGTGCCAAGTATTCTCATCATTCCAAAGAATATCTTAAGACAGGATGATGTACTTAACATTACAGATGGTTTTTAGAATTCAATAGAAGTTTGTTGAATATTGAACCATCTGGATTCAAAGAGAAAAAGTAAGGGAAACAAAATTTGATTATGAGTTTAGGAAGAAATAAAGGCACAGTTCAATATTATTCGGACATACATCTGTAAAATAACTTTAAACAGAACTATGTTCTTAAATAATGCAAAGTAATATTAGTTTCTGGAATCAATGACAAAGTTGTTCAACCTCATTTTAATCCATCTGTGCTCATAACTAGCAAAAGTTCAAGAAATCTGATTGTATATAAAGGTACAGTAAAATCAGAACAACAGTTCATTCGGTAAACAAGAATGCACTAAAGAAACAGCACACAGGGAAACTGTAAACTTCTCTTACTAACATCATACAAGACAAAGGACTTGAATGATAGATTTTCTTAGAAGATTTAGAAAAATCTTTAGGTAAGTAGAAATTAACTTGTTGACAGTTTTTATTCATTGTATGCATAAACATCAATGTGGAGAAGACCCTATGTTCTGCTTTTCAAACAACAATAATAATAATAATAATAATAATAATAATAATAATAATAATAATAACACTAATAATAATAATAATTACATTGTTTTGCTTGCGTGTACTGTAGTATGATATGGACTCCCAATCCCAAGAAGAGGGTTTAATGTTAGTCATTATGTCAGTGGCGTAGGGATGGGGAGGGCAGCTGGTGCAAAGCACATGGGCCTAGGGCTAATAGGGCCCATTCATAAATAGACCTAGAAATAATTTAAATTAATTTCCAATTTAATGTGTTTGAAGAAAAAACACCAGCGGGCCCCTCAATAATACATAGATTTTTAGAGGAGTAATTATTGATTACCATGTTCATTTAAATAGACCGAATTGGCGGCTCAGGTCACATGAATTATAGTGGGTATAGGGTTTGTGTACAATCTATCGAGATCGTGAGAGGACAGCATTGAATATGGCTTCGCCTTGTTGTTGTAAGGCACATCATAGATGTTGCACATGTTAGTTGAAACTAGAGTTACAATTTGGTAAATCGTTTTATAAGTATTTCAAAATTCAATTTTTAAAAACAGATGGGTTTGGATAGTGGGAGTGAAGCTTGGAAGTTTTTCAAGGAAAGGTACGTTCATGATGTGCATGTTGCTCATCGCCGGCTGAGGTACTTTTAGGCCCAAGTCAAGAATATATTATTCATGGCAAATGCTATTGCAGCATGAATAAAATAAAAATCTTCCCATTTGTTCAGTTGAGCAATCAGTACCGTTAAGGGCTATTTTCTACTTTATTACCTACTTGAGTACAGAGTATAGTTGAGGCATAACAACTCCCTCCCTGGTCAAGGCTTAACACTAACAGTGTAGCCTAGGCCTATACACTGTATGTAACCTACACTAGCAGCATTCCAGAGCCTAAATAAAATGCTCGGAGATTGCAAAATAATTATAAATTACTATTTTAAAAAACAGACGGCCTTACATTACTTTACTTTGGGTCGATGTCTAAAAAACATCATAACGCTCTCAAATTTTATATTATTTTATTCATTGTACATTGTTATGTTTCTCGTCACTGTACCACATTGAAAATCAGTACTATAGTACTGAAAGTGCCTACAGTATTAAGAAAGATTACATAAATAAAAATAAATATACTCTGTTCAAACTGAGTGCACTGTGGTTTAGGATGTGGTTTGTTTACATTTAGTACCCACTATGTTTCATGACTGGTAATAGCTGGAGGTGCCGATTCGGTCTATTGCTTAATTTTCCACCAGTTTTCTTGATTAGTTAAGAACTAGCTTCTCAGACCACATAGGCCCCCTGAAATAGTTACGAAAGTTACGATTATCATTAGTATGTATTACTAGCCTAGGCTATATAAGGTTATGGGTAAAAAGATAAAGAAGCACTTCATACAATGAAAATATGAATCATACCTCTTCGTAAAATTTTCATTTAAAATACGGATCCTGAAGATTTAAAATGGCGGGACTTTCAGGGATGAAGCTTTACGTCAAAGGCCGGCAATTAATTGTGCATTGGGTCTTATTTTCACCTAGCTTCGCCGCTACATTATGTCCTTGAATATTTGCTTTGATACATGGTAGAATATTAATCCTCTATTCTAATATTCATTGTACTGCACTACAACCAGTAATTTTAATCACACAGTAGAAGAGACGGCAATCGCAGAACTGAATTTATTTTTGGTAGTTTCATTAATAATTTAATACCATAGTCAGAATTTTTAAAAAGGGGGCCTCCATCCTCTAAAATTTTAAAAATCTATATAAAAATATGGAGGAAAAAATAAAACTTATTTAAGTGCCATTCCCAGAGATCAAGGGGTTTCATACAGTGGGGGAACCAGCGGGGTGGGGGACATTTCCCCCATACGACAGGCCTGGACCCCTGCTGTCTGATGCATAACAAGGTAGTCGGATCAAAAATTAAAAAAAATAATAATTTGCCTATCCAAACCACGAGCTATAAAAACTATCCTAGTGAACCTTACAAGGAGTTTTTGTATTTCGTGGTGTCGACCTAGGCTTCGTCGACCCCTTGGCTCGAACCCCTCCATCAGACATGTTGCACCCCTTGTCTGCAAATAGTCCGGACAGCTCTTAACATCGCTGTTGACTTTGCTGTGTAAAATAATTAGCACTCATATACCTAACCAAAGTAATGTAATTAATTTAATCAATTTCAGATTCAAAATGTATCTTGCAATTGCCATACAACTCAGCATTTTCTGCATCATCCAAGCAGCTAATCTAGATGAGGACAAAGCCTGTGGGGACTGTTGTGCTGCAGGGACTCATGGAATTCCTGGCACACACGGTGCCCCTGGTGCTCCAGGCCCAATAGGCCTAAAAGGAGATATCGGAGTGAAAGGAGAAAAAGGAAACCAAGGTATAGATGGGAAAGATGGGCTTGAAGGTAAAATAGGACCAATTGGTCTAACAGGTGCTACAGGTGAGAAAGGTGAAAGAGGAGAGAAAGGCGAACAAGGTACCCTAAACAACCAGCCTAAATCTGCGTTCTCGGTTGCATTTAGGAACAATCCTGGCCGTCATCCAATTAGTCCAATGAAATACACAACAATAATCACAAATGTGGGTAGTCACTACAATGCAGAAACAGGCAAGTTTGTCTGTCAACATCCAGGCACCTACGTCTTCCAATTTGCATCAGGGTCATCTAACAACGGAAACATTGTAACACAAATCATGAAGAATGGGCAACGTGTTGTCTCAGCATTTGAGAGTGGTCCCGGCTCCAAATCAATTGGAAACACGGTTGTTCTTGATTTAGTAGCAAATGATGAAGTGTGGACTCAGCCTCTAAGTACCAATTATAACTATTACAATAGTAACACTAATGCCTTCTGTACTTTTTCAGGCTTCCTGCTTTATGCAACAGCATAAAGGATTTTAAACAAACTATTATATACAAATTGCAAACCAGCAACTTGCAACAGAGGCTTTTATGAAAAAAACTACACAGATATGAAAATTCTGTTAATATTCGATTCCTTTCATCTTTTTACTTATAATGAAGTTAACATCAAATTGTGCTTGGTTGTAAAAATAGCTTATTTAATAATGCTACAAGTATAATCCGAGGTACAGAAAGCTTTCTTAGCAACATCATATACAGTTGGTTCATGATACTTGGTTGAAATACAATCTGAACATTTGTGACTTGCTCTGGCAAACTCGCGGTTTGTTGCAATTTCTAATTTTGCACAAGCACCTAAACGGTTGAGAATCAGAATTTTGAACATTTCCAGGTTTTCGCATTTTATAAAAAAGAAATTTGGAGAACATTTATGCAAAATATCAATCTCACTAAATCTAACTGAAAAGTATATCGTTACGCCATTGCTGAATTTGCCAGAGCCAGTCACATTTTACTAGTTGATGTTTTTCTTGGAATTATCTATTATTTCAGTAGTATGAATAAAAGAACTTTAAAAATGGACAAACTAATTAAAAATTGTCTGGTTTTAATCTGAATTTGTGCTGACAGCTCACTGACTCACTTCTCAGGATTTTGTTAAAAGTGTAGTGTCAAAAACCAAATGGTGGTGTGTATTTATTAAATGTAATGTACTATCTGACATTAAAACTAACCTCAACTCTCCACACTGAAATATTCAGGGTTCATATTTGTATTTACCCCCCACCCCCTAAAAAATATTCTTAGTTTTTATCTTGTGGACTAGCATTATTTCATTTTAATGTTCAAACTCTCATTAAAATCATGTTGTATGGTTATACCATACCAGTATATACAGTAGGTCCCTGGTTTTAAAATAATTTATTTGAAGGCCCAAATTATTTTTAGAGTTGATATAAACAGGCCAAAAGATAATATCCGAGATGCAAGCAACCTGAAGCTCTTGGGTACAATGCCCGAATCTCCCTGCTACCACAAAGTTCTTCGAAGGTTTGCTTCGGTCTTTCAAATTCTATTTTTAACAGTGGCGGATTCAAGGGGTAGATGAGCAGGCATGGGCCCAACCCTACACCCCAAATTTTATTTTCATTAAATAAAATGGGGGAAAAAAGGAGAATTGTAATCAAAATCAGGTCAGAGAGTGCCATTTCCGGCCATCTAGAGGTGCCATGATCATAAATTTTACCTTACACTTAACCATGGTGGGGCCAAGGTGGTCTAGACTCTCCATCTGTAAAAGTCCCTCCCTTGGCTCTCTCTATTCCGAATTCCTGGATCCACCACTGTTTAATTTTACTACACTGCAATATTATGACACACAGCATTCATTATAGTTATATTGAAACCAAAGATTGATTTAATATTTTGCCAAAAGAAGGCACTTCAAGAACTAATTCTTCTTTGTTTTAAATCATCACAAAACAAGATTGGTGAAAAGATTTGCTCGACAATGGGGAAAGAGCGATGTCACTGGCGGGGTTTGGGTGGCGATGTTACCCAATGTGAGCGCAACCGAATGGGGGCTATGGCCCGGGTTTATTAATTTACTTAAAGGGCTAAATCTTTTTTTAAGTTTATATAACAGGCCAAAGATAATATGTTGCAAGCAAGTTGTTAAAATTCATGGACCTGAAACTCTTGGGTATAGTGTGGTCAAATCCCTCTGCTGGTGCAAAGTTCTTGGAAGGTTTTCTATTTTTAACCTTAATCTTACAACACTACAACATTACATGATACAGCATTTATTATAATTATACTGAAACAGTGGCGGCTCTAGGATGTATTTTCTGTGATTGGGGGGTGGGGCTGAGCTGTCCAACAGGGGGGATTTGGGCTCGTAGG